AGTATCTCAATATATATATATATATATATTAAAAAGTTAAATTTTTATTTTCTCTAGGATCAAGTTTTTGGTTCTGTTGTAAAGTAAGAAAAAATAAGTGAAAAATATCATCAAAGACATTGTTATACTGTTACATATAAACAATTGGGATCACTTTTTCATCGAGCTTTCTCTTAAGCTCAGTGTCCTCTTTAGACTTCTTATGTGAGCTCTCTAAGGTGGAATCTTTCCATTTCATCTCTTTACTAGCTCAATATAATGATAAACCAAAAGCCCAAACCCTCATTTTTTCTCAAATTCTTTCGTTCGAAGCTCCAATTATTCTTTTAGCTGAGCCAGCTCACTTTCGAGGTATTTGCTTTTCTTTCTCTTCCAGCTATTTTATTTATGCTTGAAAGGAAGCGAGTTGCTTTGCTTTCACCTTAAATTTTATCTTTGATTGCTCCTTCCCTTTCAACAAAGCCTCTAATTTCTCTTTAATTTATTGAGATTGCTTCAGTTTAGTTTGCTCTCTGCAGAACTCACAATGTGATACACTCTTAGTGTATCCCCATTGCCAAGACAAAACCAGAATCTCCATAAATAGATCATGAAGTGCAGGAAATCCCACTATCTTGAACAACTTCTTTATGCTCATTGAGTGGATGACTGGCCCCAACTATAGGAGCCCCTTATAATAGTCCTTCTCACTTATCTAATATTGGCTCAAATCAACCAATTCTCAAGTTTGAGACCCATTGATCATGTAAAGATGATTTCTTGTATCAAACTCTTCCCATGTGAAACCATATGCAATCACTCTTGAGGAGGTAGTGGCAACGGCAGTGATGGTCGGGCAACAGTGTTCCGAAGGGTTGCGACATTGGTAGTCCAGTGATGACGATGGTAGTCCTGTGATGATGATGGTAGTCCGGTGACGACGATGGTAATTCTATGTCAATAGCAATGGATGTATGGCAATGGTGGTTCAATGATGGTGGTTAGGTTGCGTCGATGGTGGTCTGACGGTGGTAGCGGTTAGACAACGATGGCTAGGCCATAGTGTCTAGCGGTTGCTATGGCTTGACGACAGTGGCAAGATTGTGGTGGTCTGACGAAGGCGACGATCAAACAATAGTGGTCGGGCAACGGTGGTTCAGCGTTGTCCAGTGACATCCACGGTATTGCGGCAGTCAGACAACGGTGCTCCGATGGCTAGATGGAGGTGG